AACTCCGAAATGATTTTTTTGACTCACTCAATACTTACCGTTATACACAAAATTACACAAAACGTTCATAAACTGTAGCCTGGATGTTATTCTGATGTTATTCTGATTTCATCTAAATCTGTTCAGTCGTTTAAAAATGTAAAAATATATACGGGCCTACCGAGAACTAACGTTAGGAGGATTTTGAAAAAATCCAAAGCCATACAGGAGCAGAAGAGTTCGTCAACTCAGACCAAGAGATTTTGAACACCTCAAGATTATGTGAGCAGTGCCGGCATTTTCAACCGCCACAATTCTTATACTCGGCAACAACAAAATCCTCAATCTATTGTGGAGCAGAGAAGTCGAAGAAGAATTTGATTTAGAATGTGGGTTTTTCTCACTTTTATTGAACTTGAAAAATAAAAAAATAGCTGAAATTGAAAACAATATATTGAATATTCTGAATACGGGTGAAGGCACTTACCTGAACAGTCGATCTCGATGTCTGTCAGCGATAAATATTTCTTCATGCTCACCGGAATTAACTCCCTTCCTGAAATGGCAATGCCTCAGTGATCATATTCCAATTTCCATGGAATTCGCCGGCAGACCAATCAAAGAATAACCTGGAAAGCGATGGCAACTGAAAACAGCTAACTGGGATCTATATGAAATGAAAACTGAGGAACTATACTTACCAAATGATACAGTTGAAAAGGCAGTAGAATCGGTTACAAGGCAAGAGCCGCCGAAACGTCGATTCCAATGACCGCACGACATCAAAATAAAGTCCTAGTCCCATGGTGGAACTCTGAAATAGCCCAAGCAATTGCTGATAAAAAACACAAATTCAACATATTCAAAAGATTTCCTACTCAAGATAATCTCATTTCCCTTAAAAAAGCAAGAGCAAAATCTCGAAAACTGATACTTACCAGTAGGAGAGAAACATGGAGAAATTTTGTATCATCATTAAGGAGCGATACACCGCTATCTGAAATCTGGAATGAAATAAGAGCGATGAAAGGAAAACACTTTTCAACTACTTCACAAGCCCTCATCGTGGATGGGCAGTTAATAACCAACGACAATGACATTGTAGAAGCACTTGCTAATCAATTCAAGGAAACCAGTAGTTCAAACAATTACAGTCCGGAATTCGCACAACAAAAACAAGAATTTGAAATTCCACTCAACTTCAATGAATTGGCCACATCACAATATAATAAACCCTTAACGCTGAAGGAATTTGAGATTACATTGAATGAAACAAAAAATTCTGTTTCGGGTAACGACAATATTCCTTATGAATTCATAAAGAAACTCCTATTGAAAGCAAAAACAGTCATTCTGGAACTACATAATAGGATTTGGCTAGAACGAATATATCCCAATAAATGGAGGGAAGTTATCATCATTCCTGCTCCCAAACAAGATAAAGATATAAAATTGCCGTCAAGCTACAGACCGATATCACTCACCTGTTGTATGAGTAAACACTCAGAGAAGATGGTGAGCAAACGCCTGATGTGGATTTTAGAAACAAAAAACCTCATATCACCATATCAAGCGGGTTTTTGATGCTATAGGTACACAACCGACCAGCTCACACTTTTAGAACACTTATTCCAAGATAGCTTCGCGAAACGAAAACACATGGTCGCCGTTTTCTTTGATATAGGGAAAGCATATGACACAACTTGACGTTATAATATTCTCAAAACCTTATATGATTGGGGAATCAGAGAGAACTTACCAATATTCATCGAAGGATTTCTGAATAATCGGAAATTCTCTATCAGAAATGGAAATACTATCTCCACCCAACGAGAGCTTGAAAATGGAGTCCCTCAAGGATCAACACTTAGTGTCACCCTTTTCTCGATAGCAATCAACAATATCATTGGAAACATCAACCCAATGGTAGGAAAAAGCTTGTATGTTGATGATATGGCAATTTTTTCCTCTTCCTTATCAATACAAACAATAGAAGAAACGCTTCAAGACACTATCGATAAGTTGGAAAATAATGCAAACCGTCTTGGTTTCAAATTCTCTACCAATAAGACTGAATGTATCCACTTCTGTCGTCTACGCAATATTCACAATGACCCAAAACTGAAATTACAAAACCAGTACATTGAATGTGTTGAAACAATCAAATTTTTTGTTTTGATTCTAGACAGAAAACTGCATTGGAATTCTCACATCAATGACTTAGCTGTGAGATGCAAAAAAGCTTTGAACCCTGTGCGAGCAGTATCTAAGATTAGGTGGGGAAGTGATAGAGACATCGCAGTGCAACTATATAAAACTCTAGTGATGTCTAAGATGGAATACGGTTGTACCATATACGGTGCAGCTTGTTCTTCTACTCTCAGAGTGTTAGATTCAATCCATTGTACTGGATTGCGACTGACCTTGGGGGCCTACCGGACTAGTCCGCTTAAATCATTGTATTGTGAAGCAGGGATACCGCCACTTAAATACAAAAGAAACCAACTTTTAGCAGCATACGGGATTAGAATTTGTTCCCAACTAGCACACCCTAATTTTCCATTTATGTTTATAGAGGAAGACGAATCCATTTACGCAAGACGTCCTACTATTTCCCGCCCAACCGGTGTACGACTGAAAGAGCTGTTGTCCTCAATGGATACCCGCTTTCCAGATACATACAAGCTAGAATTCTGCGAGTCTCCCCCGTGGGAAATGAAACCGATTGGAAGCAACTTAGATTGTTCTGTATTTAACGAAGAGGAAATCAACCCAGCGGTGATTAGGGCTGAATTCGAAAGAATAATTAAAACATACCCATAGCCATATAGTGTACACGGATGGATCGAAGACTGAGCAAGGAACTGGAAGTGCTTTCGCATATTTGGGATCAACCCACTTCTAGACCTTACCGAATTAAGCGAGTGTTTTCACAGCAGAACTATATGCAATCTGGCAAGCATTACTTACTATACGTGGACTTATGTAATTTTCATTCATACATCCTTTGTACAGACTCGCTGAGTTCTATTCAAGCTATTGAAAACTCTATCAGTAAACATCCGCTGGTTCAAAGAATCTTAACACTGATGAGTTGTCCAAAGGAAAATCGATCGTATTTGTTTGGGTTCCTAGTCATATAGGAATGGACGGTAATGAGAAAGCTGACAATGCAGCAAGAGCTGCAACTGAGAATAATGTCGATATTCATAAAAAACTCAATACTCAACACATGGCAACACGAATGGACAAATAATGATTCAAAATTGAAAGATATCAAACCTGATATTACAGCCATGAGACTTCCAGAAGGGCTAACGAGAAGAGAACAAGTCATAATAACACGACTCAGGATAGGACATACGAACTTATCATTCTCTTATATACTGAGAAGAAAAAGACAACCATCCTGCGAAAATTGCCAAACTTTGATGATGGTTAAACACCTTCTCTCAGAATGCCACCAGTATGAAGCTGATCGACAACGATATAACTTACCGGATAATATCAGAACTTGCCTCGGTACCAAAGCTATAAAAAATGTTTTGAACTTTCTGAAAGCAACAGACCTTTTTAACAAAATATAAACAGATATCGTATACTACAAAATGGCTAATGACCACAGCAGTCGATGCCAGAATAATAATTAAAAAAAAAATATATATTAGGAAAAAACTTCGAAATGAAATAACAGTGAAATAAAATACAAGTAAAAATAGAACAGTTGAACAAAAAATAATGAAAAAAACTGTTTAGAGATTTCAAGCCAAGTTATTTCACGACGTTTCGATTGTTAGTATCCCTAATCGTCTTCGGGTGATGACACGATATCAAATAATATCAGACAATGGAAGTCCGAACTAATAAAATCCATTTGAAGCATTCTCAGTCACCTTCAAGCATTTCATTGTTTGTTCTTCATCAGTATTATTATTATTGTTGAAGTTTCATTTATTAGTAATAAAAAAGTATAGATTGTTATCAGTGTTGATGAAACTATGCGTTTCAATTACTGCTGTGAAAAGCTTTCTCAACATTTGATAGCACCACTGAACAATTTTTTTCTGTTTCATCGCCGTCTCGTCCAAAGCCCACTTCATCGTTTCAAAAAATCCCTAAAGCTATGTATTTCAAAGATGTCTAGCAAAATATCCGATTTGCTACATTTTTTGGAAAGGTAATTTTAAGCTCTATTGAAATATGAACTGAATTCTACGTAAAAAGGGGCTTTGGGAATGTTTTCATAGAAATAAGGAATTTTCGACAGGAAAAAAGTTACAGGAACTTTTTTACTCAGAAACGATGATGAATATTGATATGAGGTTTTCACCATTGAATTTGCCATAAAATTTGACCTTCAGACACACCCATCAGCTTTCATCAATCTAGTTTGAAAAAAGGAGTTTACCTTTCAAATTATTCATTTTGGCCCACTCTGTACCTCAGAGATGGATCGTTCAAAGAGGACTACTGCAATAACCCGAAAAGCAATCACATTCAAACCTCTATCAATTTATGGCAGTTGAACGAACCATTTCCAATATTTGTTGAAGTAAAAATCAGTTCCACCTCACATGACAAAAGTTACTGTTGTTTTCTATAGTTTTCGTTTTGCCTCCCAATCAAATCCTGCTTGAGAAATTTATTGTATAACGAAACATACCCATGTTTTGATTGTTTGTTAACCTTTCGTAGTGAACATTCAAAATGAATTGTATCAGTAAGTTGTTAGTTTTTAGTCAAAAAGATCCTAAGTAGAGAAAAAAAAGTGGTTTTTGTTGCTGTTCAATTTTTGGGATACAACTTTCATGCTTTACCCTTTTCACTACCTTATTTCTGATTTTTTTCAAGGAAAAGACACAAGCACAACAGGAAACTTCTTAAGGCGCTCTAAGAGCGGTACCTGTACGTAGTGATTCACATTGGATTTGAATCGCTAAAATACTCCAAATCATGAAATAAATAGTAACTTCATTGTTAGATATTAAAATCCATAGGTCAAGCCGAATTTATTTTTCCAGGTAAAGGGCAGAGACGGGCGGTACTTCCTTGCAGGAATCATTTCCTGGGGGATCGGCTGTGCGGAAGCGAATCTACCAGGAGTTTGTACCAGAATTTCGAAGTTTGTTCCATGGATCCTGAAAAATGTAACTTGATATTCAATCGTCCATTTTCGAAGCTAAGAAATATTCAAATTTTGTGAAAGTCATGTGAGAAAACTTTCGAGAAGCTTTCATATTCTTTCATCGCACCAAATGACTGGTGCGAATCTATCATTCCATTCGATAACATTCCGTTCAGTCAATTACAATTTCTAAAAATGAATAATCCAAGATGAACTCAGTAGTCAAAATATATGGAGGGCTTTCACGGCCAAGGTTGTCACTATTTTTTGAGTTCGGAGGTTGTCTATTTTTGGAGTTTCTTCCTGACATTTCGCAGGCGCATGTAGCTTCTTCAGAGGCTTGAGATCATACAGTCATCGAATATAAACTCAGGATGTATAAACCTCTGAAGAAGCTAGCCACTCACGCTGGCGAAACGTCAGGAAGGAATTCCATAAATGGATGACCTTCAAAGCAAAAAAATAGTGACACATATATGAAAATTCTAAATCATATCATGAGATTTGATTTCCTGAAATTACGTAATTCAGCAGATTAGCATAATTTTTTCAATCAGACATTGAATATAGCACTTTTTTGTAAAAAATGTATATTTTGTAATATGTGAACATATAATACTGACTTATATAATATGTAACTGAAAAAAATGGTAAACCATTTTGACTAGGTAATGTTAATATGTTTAGCAATAAATAGAAAATAATATGTTTGTATGTGATATTTAATTTATTTGTATTATATACAGTTGAATAAATAGTACATGTTGTGAATTTTTCATTCGTAATACGTTTCATCATATTGTCTTGATGACAGTGTAACAAATCATTCCATGATGGATCAACTGCATATCCTTTCTATTTTCGTGTGCCTGATTTTCTCAACCTAAACATCAGAACTTTCATGTGTCTCATATCCATATTAGTGTAAATAGTTTAATACAAATCTGTAATAATTTTTTCGACCCCAAACAATCAACGAAGCGAATACTTTCTTTCGGTCCATTATAAACTAGTTCTACTGATTTAAAACAAATATTTTCAATCAAACCCTATTTTGGAGAGGGTTTCAAAATCTTCAAAGTTGAGTTGTGGAAAATTATTATAAACATTTCAAACTTATCAACCTTGTGAGGTTGAAGTTAAAGCTGAACAGAAACTTAATTCACTAAGTTTGTTTCCATTCCTCAAGCGGGAAATCAGAACCGTATATATCTGATGATTCCTCGTAGAATATGATCACATATCGACCAGCGAACTACGTGCGTGTTTCGTCCAAATGCCAATAAACTTTGCTTGCTTCTTCAAACAGAATTCTTATTAGAAGTTCAATAGATTTTACGTCACATCTAAACGCTTTCTTGGAGGGTGTTGACGTCATAAGTCGGGTGCGTCGTTATTCACCAATACTGGACACAGTTGATTTTGCAGTATTATACAGGGTGTCCCTGGACTTCCTCTTTTCCTCTCGGGAATGTATAGATGAGGTCAAAATATCACCAGTACTTCATATAACTTTTTTTCCTAAAAATTCCGTAAGGAGGGAGCTTGCGACCTGGGCACACAACCCGGGAGGGAGCATGGGGGGGAAGGGATACATCATTCAGTGTTGAGATCTCGTAGAGACAACATCTGTTTTAAAAATCTGTTTTAAAATCTGTTTTTCCGTTAATCAGCTGCCGCCCCCATACGAACTACAACTCTCAGAAGTTGAGAAACTGGAAGAGAAAGTTTGTACCTGTGAAGGAGACTACCTAAGCGATACAAATTGAGAAGTGTTTAGACACACAAACAATAGTTCTTCTTAGAACTGCGAAATCAGTTCTTCTCAGAACTAAATATAAGAATTCGAAAAACTAACCCATTATTTCCAGGAATTTTATTTCAGAGAGACAAAGATGAAAGTAGCAGAAGCAGAAAACAAAGGCTTGAAAGAGGACAACGCAAAACTCCGGGAAACCCTAGACAAACTGGTCAACCAAATGACAGAAATGAATAAAAAATTCGACCAAATACTGGCCGAAAACACAGCACTGAGAAAAAAGTTGAAAGAGAAAGGAAAAACAAAACCCGATGGAAAAACGAAGAAACCAGAGAAAAAACAGGAGGAGACTAAAACTCCAGATACAGGAAAAATCGACAAAATCAGCCGAGAGTAAAAGGGTAAAAAAACCGAAACCGCCACAAACAAAGAAACGGAAAGAGAAGCCTTCCAGAAGAGGCAACGCAGAACAGAGGCAACCACCGATACGGAAACAGAGGACGGTTTTGAAAAACCGAAACAAGGAAAGCAAGAAAAGCCAAAAAAAGAATTGTACGGATAATAGCAGTGGACAACAAAATAGAAGACATGGAAACGGAAACAACAGTGGTACCAACGGAAACAGAGGTACCAATCAAAAACAACAAAAACCTACCAGAGGTACCAGTATGGCCGGCAGTCCAGCCAAACAAGGCTGTAGATCCGTCTAAACCTCCGCCGGTCGTCTTACACGATAAGACAAAGTGGACAGATGTGTCCCGAGAGTTAAATAAAAGAAGAATAAACTTCGCAAGAGCTAAGCTCACCAGCGAGGGAATCACAATACACACCGACGACGAAGACAGCTGGAGGCGCTGTCCGACTGGACTTCCACACATATACGCTGAAGCGAGAAGTCACACTACACGTAGTAATACGGGGGATACCGGACAACATAGAGGCAGATGATGTTGCAGCCGATCTCGGAAAACAGGGATACGAGGTCATAGAGTGTCATAGGATGACCTCTAGAAAAACCAAGCTGAATCTCCCTCTCATTCTGGTTAAGGTCCCCATGGGAGACATGCCACGCATCGAAACAACTGAGGATCTGAGGAACGCTGTGGACCAACTACAGCAAGCAATAATCAGAACGGTGAACGAAAGCGCACGGGAAGTCCCTGCCCCACTCTTCAACTTCCAAGACCACCTCCCACCAGAAACGGTGGAACTGATTAGGATAAGGAGAAGACTGAAAAGACAGTTCCAGAGAACTCGAGCACCTCTGGACAGAGCTTGCATGAACAGAGCCAACCGATTGCTGAAGGAAGAACTAAAAAACATCAGAGATAGACAGTGGACTACCCGTCTAGAAGAGTTGAATACCGAGGATAACTCTGCATGGAGAATGCAGAAGATACTAAGGAACGGACCTCGTCAGCCATGCCCGCGTATACGCGGGGACCACGGAATTGTCTACACTGACCGGGAGAAGGCGGAAGCATTTGCGGACAACTTCGAGAGGCGTTTCGAGACCTGCACGAAGCGCTGAACATGGACGACCCCAGGTTCAGAGAACGGGATAAATACAAAAGACCGATAGACCAGAACAACAGGCCTCCTCACATTCTCTCAGCTTCACTGAGAAACGCCCGTCTGCCATAGCTCTAGCCGCCGTTAGTTTTGGGGGCCCCCATGCAAAAATTCAGTTAGAAATACCGCGACAAACAAGAGCCAAATAATTAATTAAAACACGAAGATAGATAGGGAAATAAAAGCACCTAAAGGCTGGTTTCCAACCTGGGTACACAACCCGGGAGGGGCATGAAGGTACCAAGGGAGATCAGATGGGTTTAGTTTGAGTCTCAGTTTGAGTTCCAGGTACAGTTCCAGCAACGTTCGAGTCCCAACCCCGATAAAGGCAAATCGATAGATAAATAAACAGCAGGTACCCAGGATTCGAACCCAGGAAGGCAATTAAAGCCTGCCGTACTGGCTACAGTTGATTTAGTCAATACCATAGAGACCCCTGGTGTATAACCTTCTTCACTGACGCTGCCCGGAGCACGTGGAGTACACCACGCCGAAAGCTGGCGCCCAAGGCAACCCGTGATCTGAACTCAGCGTCAAAGTGACCCGTAACGCGTAAAGAGCGTTACAATAGATATATAGATAGATAATACGATATTTTATTATCGAGGTCATTTTGAAATCAAAAACTGTTACCACGTTTGTCCTTTTGTGGTTCATTCATAGTTGAACACACAAAATTGTTCTTATTTCATTCATTACGTAAACTTTGAATTATTTGCCTTTATCCAGACGCATCTCTGTATCTGCAGAGTTGGGAGGGTAAATGTACTCCCATAGCACGTAGGCCACATGTAACCTATTGTGTATTGGAGTTTTGAAGATAGCAGTACATATCAAATACGGCATTATTCATCAGTTTGAATAGGTTCTTTCCAAAATCATTCAAGGCAGCAGTTCGCAAACGTGTGTTCAAGCCTTTGTAGGGCTTCAACCATGTGGACTGCTTGAACTTTAGAACACGATGAATCTTGTTCAAAATGAGACCATGTTCTGAGGCCTGCTTGATATTTCTGTAATAATTCACATACTTTTTCTTCGACTGTAGAGTAGCCATCAATTTAAATTGTTTCACATCCGGTTCGAGATTTTTTCGTCTTAGGATCCACATGATCGGGGCAAAACGGTAAATCCTTATGCATATCGTGAAGGTTGTTTGGATACTCCATATCAACTTCTAGAGCAGGATCCAAACCGTAAGTTTTATGACAACTTGAGCGGAACTGCTCGAAGACATAGCCAGAAGCATAACATCCGTGTTCAAATACCGATTCGTATATTTTCCCAATGTGTTTATATTAAAAGTAGCCCATATCAGCTTGGCACGTAAGTAAGATCTCCTAGGACACGGTTTCTCCTCCAATATGTTGTAAAAGGTTTCGACAGGGAGTAAACAATCTTCAATGAATTTTTTGAAAGAATCGATATAATCATACGGCATTACACCCTTTTTTTGTCAAAATCTACTCTTCATCATTCGAGCGGTTGGAGAACTGTGATATGAGATTTAGAAAATCTGATAGATATGATACTAACGTATCCAGCGAAAAACTCATGAATCTGAATGAGTTAAAACATGTAACTCCATCGTCCATCCTGTCCTTTCCAGGAAGGTGAACAGGTCACTAGGAAATAGCCTCCTTATATTCGCACTCGCATAAGATATGCCTGATAGTTTCATCTTCCTGTTCACATATTCTGCATAGAGGTGTGTCCACTAGCCCCATAATATGGAGGTAATTCCTTAGTTGATAGTGGCCAGTCAGAAATTCTTCTGTTAAGTGTAGGTTTTTCGTGGTCATCGCCAGATATTTTTTTGGCGCCAGCTTGCCAGGGTCGCCCAGGGTAATCCTGGCAAGACTGCATCCTTTGAATCCATCCCATCTCTTTAGGGATTGAGCATGGGTGTGACATTCGTCTAGTTCCGTAATTGTCGAAGTCATCAGGCCCGTTTGTCCTGCTGAAATTTTCTGTTAAATACATAAAATTGTTTCTGTTTTCTTGATCGCGTGAACTTTGAATAATTTTCCTGTATACAGACGTAAATTATAAAAAAATCCGTTGTTCTTTAGTGCGACTCTGTATAAGCAGCCTTGTCTGGGAGAAGACGTGCACTATGCATATAATGTTTTGGAGCACTCTGTTGTTTGGATGGACTGAATTTAGATCTAGTGTTGCCTAGCTTATGTAAAATACAACCAATGGAAATGTTTGCGCGTGTGTAAATATTTCAATTTTGACCCTCGTTCAGATTGAAATGTTTGCAATACAATGCACACAAGTTGTAATAACAAATGGAAATACTCCAACATCAGTGATTCATAGATCCCTTCTGACGTCACAAATATTTTTGAGACGTCT